TTTTGAAGCATATCATGGGGGGGGTTGGGGGCGAAACGGGGGGGGGGGGCTGGGAACGCAGAGCGCAGGAACATATATAAGGTAATATCGGGTAATATGGGGTGATATAGGGATAATACTGGAAAAGAAAATGGAAACTACCCTTACAGACTGGTGCACAAACCCCCGCCAGCATGATGCTGGTACAGGTACGGTAGTATTTCTAGAGTCTGATGGGGGTTCAGAGACTCAAGGGATCTTAAGCTGTGATCCCTATATAATAAGCCCCTTCAAGGAGCGTCCACCCTAAACCCTAAACCTATATAACCCATTATGGTAGTTTCCATTTTCTTTTCCATTTTAGCCCCTAAATAACCCCCTTCAAGGAGTTTGGACCCCTTTATAAGCCCTTTATAAGGAGTTTAGACTACAGCTCATATGCAACGCGTGTACTTCGCGCGAAACTTCCTGAAGCTCCGTCTTCCGGACTTGTTCTGCGAGGCGTGCCTCGAGCATCGGGACCTCAGAGGGCCCGCACAGCTGTGTGTATAGGGGATTATATAGGGGTTATATATACGGATTATATAGGGGTTATATAGGAATATAATGGGATATATAGGGTTTAGGGCTTAGGGTAGATATATGGGTGTTTCCCAAATTCAGGGGTACCTTTTTAGGGGTAGGATCGTTGTATTTTGGGGTCTATATTGGGGTCTCCCTATTTTGGGAAAACTACCATATAGAGGCCTGTGCATTGTAAGGGTTGGGGTTTAGGGATTAGGGTCTAAACTCTTCTCCTTAAAGGCAGGTTATGTAGGGGATTATATGGGGGAGTATGAGCCTGCTTTATATTAGAGGGGGTGGGGGGCAATTACGGGTCCAGCCTCAATGACCATCAACAAATTTGAGCCCATGCCAAAAGCGGCTGGGCCCACGGCTTCAGAGGCCCTTCTTTCGGCAGCGTTGAGTTGAGCCGACAGCTCTGCAACCTCTGCGGAACTGGTCTCTGCATGTCTCTGGAGTCTCTGCCTTCAAAATTGAATACACCCTATATAACTCCAATATTGTAGCTTCCATTTTCTTTTCCAGAATCCCCGCATATCCCAATAGTACCACTTTTCCTCAAGCACTTGCATGCGCCTGAATCTCCGCAGCTTTTGCCCTCTGCTCCATCACGGCAAGGCTGGCCGCTGTGCGTGCTGCCTGCAGGACGCCAGAAATGCTTCCGACAGCATCTCAAGGATGCGGTGCCGACAGGAAAATATGATGTGACAATGGGAAGCTAGTGGCAGCCAGGCAAATGTCGCCCAACCTCATCTATTGCCGCTTGGAATGAGTCCCGCTGCTGCTGCAACGCCTGCAACCTTTGGCGCTCGAGCAGCTCTTTCGTGCAAAGCTGGGAGATCTCAAACTTTGCAGCGAAACCCCCACCATTTGAGCGCAGCGAACATCGTAGGCTTACACTTTGGCTACTGTAGCCGCTGTAGCTGTAGCGCAAGCTGTGTGCCAGACTCACCCTGGAGCAAACTTCGCGCCATGTGGGATGCCTTATAAGAACGCCATACAGGGCAAAGGGCCAGATGCCATGGGCAAGTCTCAGGCCTCTGCTTGAAGTTCACTAGACAATTTCTCTGCCTTTGCCTTCAGGGCAAGGGCCTGCTCTCCAGCCTTCGAAAGGTCCTGCGTCAAGTGAACGCTTTGGCAAAGTCCCCTGCTCAGACTTGGAGAGGCACAGCTCCGCCTGCAGGTACAGGACCTGATCCTGCTCATTTCTTCTCACACAAACGTCAAGATAGTGACATAAAAAGCCGTCTGAAAGCGCCTCGAGCTGTTTCTTCGCGGTCTCAGCTCCGAGCTGCTTGGCGGCCGCCTGCAGGTGTCGAAGCTTCAGGCGGCGGTGCTGGGGCCATTCAGGCATGCTGCGCATGTAGCAAAATGAATGCTTTAGGGTCTAGGCTTGCGCTCGCCATACAAGACAATGGCAAACACACGAACAACCGCTTCGCTTGTTTTGCCCCTGCCGGTCAGAAGAAGCCGCTATATCTCCGGTGAGAAGTAAGGTTTCTTCTTGTGATCAACGTTGGCGCTAGCAGGTTGACTGCAGCCAGTGTTGCAGGCGGTGGCGACCAGTGCAGAGGGGGGTTCTGGCCCTTGCAACGTCATTCTCATGAGGAGCACAGAACACCTCATCGCCCACCTTCTGGGAACATTTTGAAACATCAGGCTCAGTCCCATCACAGAGCAGCTGCACTTGGGGAAGAGCTGTCCCACATATATCCTCATCCTCGTTGCAGGAGTGGACTGGGTTGCCATCGACAGCTGCAAAGCCCAATGACTTGCAGGCCGCAGCCGCACTCCCAATACCAAACCCTGAACTGCAAACAGGGCTCCACCCGTGCCCTTGTAGCAGAACTTCTAGCCGCCCCGAGCTGCTTTGGCTGGGCCGGCCCTGTGCATCCACTAGGCGCAGGGCAGTTCTGAATGAAGAACTTGCAGAACCACCGTGGCATTCAACCACAGAGTCGTGGAAGTGCTCCAAACATTCACCCCGCGGCACCACCCACTGACACTGCGCAAGGTTTTGCTCAGTGCCCTTGCAGCTCAGCTGCTGCATAGCAACGGGCATGCCCCGGCTTCCGCAGAGATTGTGTCCATGGATGCTTGAACATGCACCCTTGACAACAGACCCCTCTTGGAATCCCATCAGTCTGCAGATCGTGTCTGCTGCGCCTTGGTCCAGGCCACAGACAGTGCCGTGGCCATTTGCGGTCTGGACCTCAACGAGCCCTGAACTTGAGTGACTCCCTGTCTCGTCGATAAGCCTCACTGCAGGACCAGCCAAATTAGGCATCTGTCCCTATTTCATGCACGCGCTCTAGTGGCCATCTGGCAGCACAAGGCATAAACCCCAATCACCTCACACACCCAGGTACTCTTTGCCTCGCTGCAAGCTGCGGAGATCATTTGTTCAGCCCATAAATGTGTTGGATGAGTATGCTGTAATCTAGTAGCTGTCTCGTCTCGAGCATGCAGGGTGGGAACGATGCTGCCAGGAAGGACACAGACAACACACGCAAAAATGCGTTCATCAGCCAGCCTCCTTGACTTGCTGCTCAAGCTTCTGCTGCAATATTTGGGACCTCATTTTGGCATGCGAAGCTGCAAACACCGACGCAAGAGCTTGACAATGTTACTGCTTGTCAGTAGGAAATATGGTGCTTTATAGTCCCTATTACATACAGTGTTCCCATATGCCCTACGAACAACCACTAAGCAATTCTCCTTAAGGACCTGGCTTTCTCTGCTCCTGCTCAAAGCACTCCTTGCAAAACGCGATATCCCAGGATGCACTTAGTCAAACTGCCCCTCGCATATGCTCGGGTCCCCGATGTTGAGCTATTTTATAGTCTCCAGGCAGGAGGTTCGCAGTCGGTCCAAGAGGGATGCTTGACAGAGACAGCATCCCAGAAGGGTGAGGACTGAAATGGAAAGGGGTCTGCATGCACAAACTGCTAGGCCGCCAAGCTAAGCTGTCAGTATCCAAGCTATGGTCAGCATCCGCGATGCCAGTGTACAAGGTCTTTTGCGCGCACAGGCATTTTTTTGAAAAGAACACAGCAAAGCTGAAGTCTGGAAACTAATAGGCTCGACAGCCCCGGGCACTCCGCAACCAAGCAGTCTCCCTCGCGTGCATCTTCAGGGTAAGCCCGCACCGGCACCACCAACCCTTCATGACACCCAAAAACACAAACTCATGGGTTATATGAACGCCGAGGGAGACCAAGTCAACAGAGGATTTGGGGCAAGGTTGTCCTGCCAAGGTTCGTGCTCTTTCTAACTTACATCCTGGTGCCAGCCTGATGCCGCAATTAACGCACCAGGCTTGTCGGCACCCTAGACGCCAATTGTGCCAAGAGTGTGTGGTCTGTAAGTTCTGCAAAAACTCAGTGCGAGTTGCCAAGCGCGGCCCCTGGGGCGTAGCCCGCAAAGCGACGCTGGCTAGGATACTGAAACGCGAGGCAGCAGATGTGTTTGTACCTGTAAGAGTCTGCCAACGATTGATGTCCCAGTATGTGGAATACACCGCTTGCCTTTTCAGCCAAGCACCTCTTTCCCCGGCAGCCCCATCAGCATGGCAGTTAGCCGCATAAGCCCAGTCTAAATTTCCGCCAAAACGCACGCAAAAATCTTCCAAACTAAGATGGGACTTCACCCATACGTACCCAGCTATCTTTCTTTGGATTCTGTTGTAATGAGACCTTGTCTGAAAAGCCCTTGGCCCAAAGACACTTCTCCACAATTACAGCCTTCTATTATCTCCTAGGTGTGATCAGGGATTCTGTAACTTTTTGGGGGCTCCTGGCTTTTTCACGTGTTTTGTCTTTGAACAGCAGGCCCTTGCCAAGGACCACAACATGCCGTCACTGCCACATGGCGGCAGTGCTTATAATGCAGCCCGATCCGGTCCTGCCAGGACTTCTGCTCGCCTCGCACCGCATACTCCGCCTTTCAACGAATGCGTGCCGTTGTCCCAGAAGAGGTCTAACGGATGTGCTGAGAATAGCCTCTAGTTGGCGTCGAAGAGCACATGTCTCTGCAATCAGCTTTGAATTGCCATCAGTCCTTGCAAACATGTCGAGACAGGCACGCTGGCCATCAGCTAAAGCATCTAGAACTCAGGCATATGTGGGAAATAGATATATATATATATACGTACATATGTGTGTGCATATATAAATATATATGTATATATATATATGGCAAGGCCCTTACCCATATTCATATACCTGCATAAATATATACATATATGTACCTGCACACATATATCCCCAAACCCTGAGCTATAGTCTAAACTCCTAGTATCCCCCTATCCCCCTCTATAACCCCTATAATACTGCCCTATCCACATAATCCCCTAAATCCCCCCCTTTAGGACTTTAGACCCTAACTAACCCCTTAACCCTAAACCCCATATAGACTACGTACGGCTCATATAGGGAGACTTAGGAGGATGACCAAGCCCCCCACTCTTCCTTCAGGCGAGTGGTCAGAACTGTTATCTGACCTTCGAGGCCACGGGCCTGCATTGGCTTTAGGGTTTAGGGTTTATAGTCCCCCTTAAGTAGATAGAATATGGTTTTGGGTACATTTTAATAAGATCCCCATATATCCCATATTCTATCTACTTAAGGGGGCTATAGGGCTTAGGGGTTTAGGGTTTAGGGCTTTGGGTTTGGGGCTTAGGATTTAGGTAGGTCCATTCCTTCATTCCCTACCTGCAACTAGCATGCATGGTGTTTGGAGGCTTGGCCGAAATTAAACACGCCATCGTGAGCCGCGTGACAATGTGCAGAGAGACGATAACGAGGTCTTGGACAAACCTCCTGTCATGCTACACGAAGGTAGCTGTATGTGGCAGTTTCCATGAGTATGGACCAAAAAAATACGGCCGTAGTATTATAGGGACCCCACCAAACTTTGGAAAACCCCTATGTCGCCATAAGAGGAACAGCTAGTGTTTCATCTCAGCACCTCCCCTAAGGATCTTCACTTTCCCCCAGGTATAGCCCCCCTTAAGTGGATAGAATATGGCTTTGGGTATAATATCATAAGATCCCGTATACCCCATATTCTATCTACTTAAGGCGGATTATAGGCATATTACGAAAAATTAGTCTTATAGGTACTTAGAACTCAGGGAGACGACAGGATATCACCTGGTGATACCTTAGGTGGACCCCCCACCCAGTAATAGTGACTATAGGGGATAATGGTGATTATATGAGGGCACTCTTATATTCCCACTGTACCATTTTTACAAGTCTTAAGTCATACCTTGGGTCTTCCCTACCTAGCTCTTTTCTGCCGGCTGCTCAATCGCAGGAGCCTTTGCCCGAGCATCGTCAAGTTCCGCCGCCTGTTCGGTGACTTGTGCCTCCCAGCGAGGCTCAGAAAAACAACTTAGGAGGAATGATCATGCCTCCATCATCATGGGGCATCCAGGGCAAACAAAAAAGGCCAATTCAGTGGGCACAGTAGCCCTAAACCGAAAACCCTCATCCCCAACCCTATAGCCCCAAACCCTAAACCACTGTGAGAAACGGCTGGGGCTGTCACATTTGATTTGGCGAGCCGAGATCGGAGCAGCTTTGCCTTTTGGCAGGAGTCGCCAAGTGGAACACAAGGCACAGCCCGACCGAATTAGGGTTTAGGGTTTAAGGTTTAGGGCCTTAGGGCTTAGGGTTTACGGTTCAGGGTTGAGGGTTTTCATCAAAGGAGGGTTCAGGGTTTAGGGCTTAGGGTTCCCTAAGCCACAGACCCATAGTCCCCATATGTCCTTATATCCCCTTTGCATCGCAATAGGCTTACCTACCTAGTGGCTCATCTGGGTAGCAGAACAAAAAATCTATAACCAGGAACCTGCATCCCCTTATAGTTGCCATGACAAATAACATGAGCGTTTCTGAACATGCCCGCCTACACATATACAGATATGTACACCTACCTAAACCCTAACGCATTTGTTCTATATACATTGATATACATACATCTACATATGCCTAAACCCTAAACCCTAAACCTTAAACCCTAATGCCTAAGCCCTAAACCCTAACCTCAAACCCTAAACCCTAACCTACTTGAAAGAGCAAGCCTCGTCCGGATCCAAACACCGAGCCAGCTCCTCTTGGAATCGCTCCAATTTGCGGTTCAGCTCCTTGGCTCTGAGGATTTTAGGGACTCCTGTTTAGGGTTTAGGGTCTAGGGTTAAGGGTTTAGGGTTTAGGGTTTAGGGTTTAGGGTTTAGAGTGTAGACTTTAGGGTTTAGGGTTTAGGGTTTAGGGTCTGGGTACTACTTGGAGGGTCAGGGGGACTTAGGAAGCAGGTTAATAATGGGGATAATTCAAGTTACTACATGGGTTATAGGGGTTGTTAACCTACTTACTAAGCCCCCCTAACCCTCCAAGTAGTGTAGGGAGAATGGAAAAGAAAATGGAAACTACTATTTAGGGTTTAGGGTTTAGGGCTCAGAAGCGGACATCCCTCCTGAGGCTTTTATGAGGGCATCTAGGGTTTAACGTAATTCCGTGCTACCGTTGCTGTGGGGCTATATAGGGTTAATCAGGGTTTAGTGTGAGGCTCTGTAGGTTTACATGCTAGTTTTCAGAACCATGCTGACCTGAATATAGAACCCAGAATACTTTAGAGCTGAGGGGTACCCCATATTATTATAGGTACCCCCATATAGGGGTACCCTTATTTCGTGGAAAACCCTTTCAAGGGTGATTGGGGTTTAGCGTAATGATAACCCAGTAATGGACAAGGAAGGGAAACAAAAACATGCATTTTTCAGTCAAAGGCTGATGGCCTCCAATTGCTCGTCCTTCAGGTCCAACTGTTGTCGCTGATCGCGGATTGCCTTCAGAAGTTCCACCTTGAATGGCACGAAAATTGAAATGGACAACGGTATTATGCAGGGGTTGATGTTAAAAAAAATTGCATGATCTTCAGTAGCTGATATCTTGGAATGGGGGCTTCTGGAAGGTTAGCATACTAAAGTCATGCAAGATTTCTAGTATCAACGCCACTTGTATCATAGCACGAAGGCAAGTGCAGCAATCTGTTCTCCATTAGCTGGTCAGGTGTTCCATGAGCCAAGACCCACCCCATAGCAATAGCGGGTGGCCAGGCCACAATAGAAGGTAGTTGGAGGTACTCTGAGATTGTGGCGCGGCGTCCGTGGCTGACACCCGCATCCTGTGCGAACAAATTAGAAGCATTAGAAACTTGCAATTTGCATAATGGCCAGCTGGCATCGTCTGCATTTTCCTACCCCGACGAGAGCAACAGCATCGCGGTCTTGCTTGTATGCTCTGACACGTCATTGGTTGACGGTAACATCTGATTGAATCGCAAACTCCTATAAAATGCTGCATGGCTGGCGCGCTGAGCCTGCTTTGCTTCTGCCCTGTGGTTTCAAGTTTCATATGCTCCCTTGGGGGCTGCTCTGCATCAAAGAACCAAATCACACACCGGCAAGGGGCACCAAACCAAGCCTCCAAGCCCAGCAAGTACGGGTCTTCCGCGCCTGAAAACGGACATGCCCTAAGACATCCTGGCGCCATTGCTACTGAAATGCATTGCAGAAAGAAGCTCTTCGAAAAGGCTTCAGGTACTGAGATAACCTTTGCACCGCTCTACGTTTCGTTGGTCGTGCAGCGCTTTACTCCGCGCCTGTCCAAGCTTGCTTCGGCTCTTGGCCATCCGAGGAATAGTATGACATGATTGCACCTCCACAAGAAAAGGCGTGCTCAGCGCAGTCTACTTGCCGCCACCCAAGCACCTTCATCTCCCTGTACACTTGGGAAAGTCTTTGGAGGGTGCAACCTGCAAGCTACAGAGTTCCGGCACACTCGGAACTTCCTTTAGCTCAGCCACGGGCAGATTGAAAACGCGAAGGCAAACGTCGGGACCGGGGACATACTTCAAAGCCTGGCCTGATCAGGACACCACAAAGCCTACCCAGTGCATGTGAAAGGTCTGAGAGAGGCACCTAGGAGCTGTTGGTGGGTTGTGACCTTGGCCAGAACCAATGTATATTGGGGTTATCTTGGGATAATGGAAAATAAAATGGAAACTACTTGAATGGGTTATTTAGGGATCATATACAGTTTGAAGGGTTTTCTTTCGGAGGTGCATAACATCCTCGAGGGCGGCGCGTCCCTCATCCATGATCCGTTGAACATGTGGGGCTTGGTGACGTGCCTGGCAGCTACCAGGTGTCCATCCCATTCTCCATCTTCTTTTTCTTGTGTTCTAGGCCCCAACACCCTAAGCCCTATCCCGTGAAGAAATTACCCCTCAAACAGGCAGGCCGCGGCAGCATCTGGTCCAAGCCTCCCTGCTGTACCCGCTGCATCAGCTGTATCTCGGCATCAAGTTCTTTGTCTTAAGTCTGCAGCTGCTTCTGCACCTGCGCTGCATCCTCAAGAACCAACCAAGACGACGAAGCGCATGCATTGAGAGCTGTGCGAAGCGGGCTTGCAGCTGTTGAAACGGCACTCCAAGCCTCGGAATCTCTGCAGCCGAAAAGCTCTGAGTGTGTCGTACCCACTCAGCATCAGATGTCGACTCCCACTAAGAGTTTGTGCGGTGAGTCGGCAGCGGCCGTGCTGCAACCGTGGCACTCTCATGGATGAAGCCTTTTGCGAGCGCCCGGCTTGACCAAGTGCTCTGAGCGCTGTGCTGGTGGCTTCGCACAGCAAAATTAGCTGCTCTGAGAACAGCGTATGCACTGGCTTTCGGGTAGTAAACGAGCAATCGTTGACTTGTGTAGATTCTGGGTGTTCTGATATCCAGTCCCAAAAGCCCACGTTAACGTGCTCGCCCGCATGGCATCAGCCGTCACGGGACAAGCTTTCTGAACTTCAGCGCCGCGCGCGCCGCGTGCGCAGAATGCGAAATACAACTGAGAAAAGCTTTTTGGATCTTAAGAGAATGTTGATAATTCAAACGTTACCTAGTGTCTACTTCGCTTAGAGGGAGCCATGGAAAGGGTGAGACTGCGCCATGACCTCCTGCAGCAAAATGCAGCCGAAAGGGTTTGAGAAAAAGCAAGCACACGCTTTTGCAGAAAACTCAGTGCCATTTCCCAGACTCTATTTCAGGCCTTCAGGTAGACGGAGCTCACTCATCAACATATGACCTGAACGCCCAAAACTCCAAACACATAGTCGGAGGCAGCAGACAATCTTGGTGACCCACGCACCAGCGCCGCTGTGACTACTTGTAAATGCTGAGCTTCCCCCTGCACCTATGGCACGCACAACCTAAAAAGTCTTGGCGCTTGTCTATGATCCCCCAAGGCGTCTAGTCAGTCAATGTTGAGATTCGCCTGTTCCAGAAGTGTGCCCCTGGCTGGATCCCTCTCCTTTCTTTTTCTTCGTGTCCTGGCCAAACACTTGTTTGTTCGAAGGCCGGGCAACAGGGGTAGGTTGCTGGCTACGGAATGTGCTGGACGGTCTCCTGAGTAACTTTCTTCAACACCTTCTTAGCCATGGATTCGATTTTGGACAGCTTCTCTTGATCTCCACCTACAGTTTTCAAGCTGCTCCATCTTGCAGAGGAAGATTGAAGATTGTCTATCTCTTTATACATATACATATACATATATACATACAATACATATATATGCGTGTATACCTATACATGTCACACACATGCAGGGTCATATGCATTTACATAGACGATATATCGCACGTGAGGCTGCGGCGGCTCTTTGACTCTTCCGGCCACTGTAGCTCAGCAGAGCAAGAGCCGCCAAAGCGCAAAATGGAATCCTGAAGCCGGCAGATGCTTAAGGCCTAGATAATTTTGGTTATATTGGGGTTATATAGGGCTTACATAGGGGTTACATTAGGGTAATATTAGGCTTATATATGGATTATATAGGGGTTATGTGAGTGGTTGTCACAAGTATGGTCCCTTTTTGGATCCCTATTATAATACGGCACCAAAAAATTAAGGGTACACAACAAGGGAACATAAGTTTGACAACCACCCATACTGGGGTTATATGAGCCACTGTCTAAACGCCTAGTACCGCCCTTAGTAACGCCTAGTACGGCGCTTATTAAACCCTATGACAGAGGGATTATCATTGGGGTTATCTAGGGTTTGGGCACGCGCAGGCTCGGGTACCGTAGGGCTTGGGTTTGGGGACACGTTCCCCAACCATGGACGATCAAATGGAAAACAACATGGAAAAAGAATCCTAAATCCTAAACCCTAAATCCAAATTTAAAGCCTAAACCCTAAACCCCTACGCCCTACATCCTAAATCCAACACCCCAAACGCAGAGGGATGCCTTGAGCACCACATGCTCGCTGGCCGGCTCTGTGATCTGCATGCCACCCGCCACTCCTACATCGCCCTGCCGACCAAGTAGGTTGAATTCAAGAACATTCCATCTTACCCTATAGTCCCCCTTAAGTAGATGGAATATGGCTTTGGGTATACCGGATAAGATCCCCATAAATCCCATATTCTAGCTACTTAAGGGGGACTATAAACCCTCAACCCTATCTACCCTATCTAGGACCTGGTTGAACTCCAAAGGCTGATCAAGTCCCAGGCTGTCAATGAAGTTCCTAGGATGTGAGGGCGATGGCTTGCGCTGTAAGACTCCGCAGAAGATAGAAAAAGGGATCTTGCAGTCGGCCAGGTCACGTCCAGTGGTTCTTGTTGAAATTGGAGAGCGCCTGTAAGATTATGGACAGCTGCGAAAAGCAGTAACATTCTGTTTGATATTCTGAACAAATCGCCAACAATCCATCACAGGAACTCGGTTCAGACTGCACGTATCAGCATGCTGAGGCTGAAGCCTCGACAATCTTCTGTGCACGGTTCAATCGGGCAAAGCCCACCATGTCCTGACACGCTGCCCATCTCTCCTAGACTGCGAATGTAGCAAAACCCACCTGGTAAATGTACACGTAGGAGCTGTTGAGCTGGGCGATGAGCAAGTTCATGAGAAGGATGGACGATGCCAAGACCTGTCTAACTCACAGAGCACTCGATGAAAAGGCTTGCATTCAGAGGAAGAGCTTTCCTTATAGGAGGTCCAGCAGAATCTGCAAGTTGCACACTGCCTATCTGAAATGCGGCATGGCCACGAACAGCAGTACAGCCATAAGCAAGGCTGGCTCAATCTCCATCAAAGTGCCTCAGCTTGCAGATTACTATTACTGTTACTATGACTATTGCTATTACTATTACTATTACTAATACGATTATTCATATTTTTATTGTTGGCAGTGATTCTGTGGATGAGCTTCATCTTGCGGAACTCTGCTTCTGCATCCAAAGGACGGTAGTCATCCTCATAAAGGAGGACGGTGATGGAGAAGAGGCAAAGCACAGTGTTCCTTGTGGGGGGGGTGTGCGCTGGGCTCTTGGTTGAAACTCCACCCAAGTAGCTCTACACTTGCACGCTGTCAGCTGCAAATGTGCAAGGGTGTGCTTTGCTGCCCTGGTGCGGGATGTCTCGCATCTCCTAAGATCACCGTGGTTTGGGGTTTCAGGGTTTAAGGTGGCAAGCTTGTATCATGAGGCTCGCCGCAGCAATCTGGAAGCTAAGGGTCGAAGTACCCATGTTCCAACACGCTGATGGCACTTCCGAAGGTCAGCAGCAAGAAGATTAAGGCAACCAGGAACCGGCTAATCTCACTCAAGACCTGTCCAGGGCTTGACAAGTCGAAACAACAACCTGAAGAGCCGGACTATAGTAATATAGTAATCTAGCAATATTCACACTATAGTACTATAGTAGAATAGTACTATAGTACTATAGCATAGTGGGAACCAGAGCCTGGGCGCACACGAGAACGAAGGCCGACAAGCCCGTAGAGAAGACCGCCAAGTCCTATGAACTTGCAAACCGTAGGGTTTAGGGTTTTAGGGTTTAGGGTTTAGGGTTTTAGGGTTTTAGGGTTTTCTGATAAGCAAAAAATAAAAAGTGTTTCCAAGTAGCCCTGAGAGTCTACCATGAGGAACCAGTGCACCGCCATAGCACCAAGGCCCAGGGCCGAGTATGTAAATCGCACTCCCTGGATGCAGGGAGTCCAAATAGTAAGAATAATGATGGTACATATGGGTGGTTGTCAAAATTGTGGTCCCTTTTTGGATCCCTATTATAATGCAGCACCTAGCATTTAGGGTACCCAAAAGGGGACCAAAATTTTGACAACCACCCATATAATAGCAATAATACGAAAAGTAAGGTAAGAACTTCTGCCCTCTTCTACTCTGCCTTCCTAGCTGTCTGCGGGTTCCACTGTTAGCCTATGTGTTCTCTCTCTTTCTCTTGCCTACTTCCAGTTGCACTACGAATTCCACTGGCACTGCGAAGACAATGAGTTTTTTGTGTGAAGCACTTCCTCCCTGCCTCGATGTCTTCACAGTTGTACGTCGGCCAGTCTTGTGGAGTGGAAGCCAAACAATGATACATGGGCTCATAGGCGCACATCAGCATAAGCAGGATTGCCAGAACCTCAGAAAAGCACAGCCCTCCTTCTCTGGCCTTCTCACTGTAGCAAGTCCACCCCATCACACTCACATGTCCAAGGGCGACTATCACTCTACTAAAGTTTAGTGTGCCCCGAGAGCATGCAACCAGCTTCAGCAACAGATAGCACCCACGCAACAACATCATTAATTACACCGATCGTTGAGAGTTGCTCGTCAGCAGCTCAGGTGGAGCAAGACATCCACACATTCCACACAAACCCTTGACACAAGAGCATTTAAGCATCTGGGACCATTTGCAGGCGCCAGTTGCAGAATGGACGTTTTACCCTGAACCAAGTGCAGCCTCGACACCAAGTTGCCCAAAGCCATCGCATTGTTCAGATACTTCGGCACCCGAATACATTTCATGACTCGATTTGTCTTGCCACGCCGGTAGTCTTTGACACACTTCCAGATGCATCCTGCAGCATCGGGGTGGTTGCCCCACAGATGAGAAACTTCTTGCTCTGAAGCAGGTTCTGCTGACTGCAGGCTAGGAGCTGATGAATAGCCTGCTCATCGTGACCAGGTACATGAAGGTGCGCCCAAAGAAGATCACCACACGAACTTCCCAAATAGACTCGATCTCTGTTGTCTTGGGCAAGATCGCTTCACTAAGCATGAATATCAGCAAGCTGGTCAGGAACCAGAGGCGGGATATCAGAAAATGGTTTCGCACAATGCCGTTCCACCTCAGGCAGGTGGTCTGGAAAATGCAACAAGACACGAACACGCCATAACTAGAAGCAAAGCCAGCGTTTTTCATGCAAAGTGGCAGAGTGTCAGACACCATCACAACAGCTGGATGGACCATGATTTTCGGGTCTTTGGTGGTACAGATCTCTCTGAGAAATTCCGCTGGCTCTCCCTCCTGCCAGGACAAAGCAAGAACGAAATCTCCGTGAATCTAGGGTCATCTAATTATAGTAGTTTCCATTTTCTTTTCCATTATCCCCATATAACCCCAATAGAACCCCATTCTAGTAGTTTCCAGTTTACTTTCCATTATCCCTACCACAGCTGTTTCTCGCCGAACGCCCCCGACAGCCCCTCCTGATTCACCAGTAGGTGCTTCACCTGTCCGCGGGTCAAGCACAAATCAGACATGCAAGCAGGCTGTGGAATAATGGAAAGGCCAGCGAGGAGACTGCGTGGCCAAAAAAATAGCCAATGCAGGGGTGGCGCATAAAAATTCACCCGTCGCCGCCCGGCATCTGTTCGAGCAGACCGCCAAATCAGACCATCGAGCAGCGTTGGAATCAACGTGGGCGCCTGCACTATCGATGCTGAGTCGTTTCAAAACGTTGCTTGAGCTACAGAATTTGTCCCGACCGCTTTTTGCGCGCACCTCCCTGCATAACCGATTGATGATATCCTGGTGTCGCTCGAAGAGGGCATCATTTCCTGAATTGCAGACGCTGCTATCTCTGGGCTTGCACACGGCTATTTCTGAGAACTACGAATACCGAACGACCTACCCGGCTAATCCTTCAGCTTGGAAATTGCCTCTCACCTCAGCCTCCAAGTGCAAGGCAACGGACAGCTGATCAGGCAAGCAGCCGTAGTAGTATTTCTCCCGATCTGCCCGAATTAGCAGCAGATCGTGGATGATGGCCTCCATAACTCTCGGACACTTGTATGCTTGTCTTTCTTCGCGCAATCCACCGTAGTAAAAACAGTGGTATGGCAGCAGAAAATCTACAAACAATGCCGCTACTGCTCCTGTCACAACAGCGTGAAAAGTAGCAAAAGGGAGTGGCCATGACAGCAGCAGCAGCAGCAGTAGCAGCAGCAGTGGTGGCAGCAGCAGCAGCAGGCGGAGGAGTCGTGGCAGCAGTGGCCGCAATGCTAGAAATGTTGTGCTTGAAATGTTGTTTCGTTCTCTCATCCACCATCCTTGTTGCAAGAATCCACCATGAGAAAATCTGGCGATGAAAACTTGTGACCAGGATCACCATGTCCATTTGAGGGGTCACAACATTTGCTGGATCAAAGTCCCGGCGCCTACCAACACGTTCAGCAGCCGCTGCCGCAATAGTAGCAGCCGTAGATGTTCAAGAAGCAGCAGCAGCAGCAGCAGCAGCAGCAGCAGCATGGTGTATGGGTGGCATTGGTAGCCGATAGAGAAGAATGGGGAGCAGCAGGAGCAGCAGGAGTGGCTGCTGCTACTGCTGCTGCTTCTTGTTGTTGTTGCAGCAGTGGTCATGGTGGTTATGATGGCCACTGCTTCCCGTGATGTTACTGCCAGTCCTGGTTCGGTGGCGAGTACTGCTATGGTGTCACCCCTGCTCTTGCTTGTTTTTTTGTTCTGCGATAACTAGTCTCCGCAATCTCCGCAAGTAGAGCATGCACGAATTGAGTGCGGATGTTTTCACGTACGATTTTGGCATGGTGCCCTTGCTGCGGTTCTCACATCGCAAGCATGAGCAATGATGGTCATCAGGATGACACGCGCATTTCTCAAAATAAGAGTCATCAGGACAATGCACTCCAAGGAGCGCGGCTTAGTGGTAAGGGTGAGCCCCTGAGGGCACATAGCTATGTCCACAACTCGACCCTCTACAAGATGCGCCGCACTGAAATGGAATGACCCCAGAAGAGGAGAGGACAAGAGAAGGGCTGTGCCCGAAAGGGACCAGGCCCCAACCTGAAAGAAAACCTTACGCTTCGTCCACGGTAAGATGGACCTTATAACAAGGCCTACGGGGCTCTAATTTATGAGGAACATCACTTGAGCCATAGTCTAAACTCCTAATACCCCCCTGATAACCTCTATACTAATCCCCTATATGACCCCCTTCAAGGAGTTTAGACTATAGCTCAATTGCTGGAGCGTCTGAAGGATTCCTGCCAAGGTTTGCCTCCGCAGCCGCTAAGCTTCCACTCTCAATTGCCCAGTAGAGCGGCGAGATGGAATGGGTACCGACCTAGTTATCAAGCAAAGCCCGCGTTTAGGGTTAAAAGTTTTAGGGTTTAGGGTAAGTTTAGGGTGCAGGGTTGCTTCGTGCATCTACGGACATTAAGCTCGGCTGGGCTGTAGGAATGTCTGAAACCCTAAACCCTCAACCCTAAACCCTAAACCCTAAACCGTTGCGTCTGAGCACCTGGATCTTCAGGAGCCACTGGAAGCGCTGCCCTCGAGGAGCGCAGCTGATGGCTCTCTGCCTGGAGCGTGAACCCTGAACCCCAAACCCCAAACCTTACACCCTAAACCATAAATATACATATATAGAATTAGATGGGTAGAAATATTTATTCATTTATTTGTATTTATATGAATCGCACGAAAGCACGGAGGGTCAACGCTTGCATCAAACAAAGTAATGCCGGCAGCCAGGGCGCAACATCTTCTTTGAATTTGCGTTCACTGCCTGCCCGTGCTTTATCAAATAAATGAACCAGTAGGCAGCAGCAAGCATGTAATTGGTGGCCTTCATCACGATCGTGGATCCCTCAGCAATGGTCCTCACCTCAGGCCAGTCAACTTTAAACGACACAAAATCTTGGCGATGTTGCGTGGATCGCCAGCTGGTGTCTTCAGGAGAACCTGAATAGGGTTTTCTTTGGTGGTTGAACCTAGTCAGATTATATTCTTTATATATTCTTTACTATCCCGAAAAGCGGGATATAATCTCACTGTATATCAAGTATCATAGCTCCCCAAGTAAAATACTACTCCCCTGGAGCTAAGGGTTGGGCCAGCTGCTTGGACACAATTCCAAGCGACCATTTGAAGCCTTGCACGGCGAGCGCGTTTTCCTCAGCACGCAGCTTCAAGATGCAGAAACCCTCATCATGTGAAGTAAAGTCTAAACTGACTAAGGGGGGCTATCTAAAGGAATATATAGGCAGCGGGATACTGTACTAGGAGTTTAGACTATGGCTCATGTTCCTCCAGCACAGGCTGGATCCAGCGGCATACTAAGAATGTGTGTGGTTTGCCATGTGCTGACTGACACCATGGTGAACAGTGAACACTGATCCTGACAAAGCGACGGCTGCGGCGTCCTTGATGACCTCGACGCACGCGTTGACCTCGGAGGAACTGCTCTTGAAACATCGGATACACGAGTTACTGCCATGTGTGTCTGCTTTCAATCCCTGAGGACCGCGCGAAAGGTGCGAACATTTCTGTCGGAACGCCATACCCAACATGACGCAAACCCAGCGCCGACAAATCATCAATCAACTGGCGCAAAATTCAAGAGCAAAAAGAACAGTACAAGTAGTACTGACAATAGCAAAACATAATAATATAATAGTAATCAGAAAAAAAGAGTACTAAGGCTAGAAATGATAAGAAGAAGAATATCTTAATGGTAATGGTACTAGAAGTAGAAGTACATAGTAAAACATGATAACAGTAATTACATGGCACGTGGACGAAGCACTTCAAACCACAATCCTTCTTCAAAAGCCTCTAGCCTAGCAGGCGTTATATAGGGGATTATATTGGGGCTTACAGGGGACTTTAAGGAGTATATAGGGAGTATATAGGGGGTATATAATATAGGGCATACTATTGGGCTCCCCTTGCGATGCCTTCCAAGGATCTCCATAAATCTCGATGGAGAATGTGAAAACCTGCATAAGCTGATTGTTTCAAGTTCCACGAACCTCTGCTGCCATGAGCGGGCGGCCTTCTCTGCAATGAAATGCAAGCGCGTATCAGATTGCTTGAAATATTCTTGGCCAGCAGGTGTGGACGCAAAAAAGCCTGAGCTGGTCCAATTCCACGTTCTGACGTCAGAAGGACACAGCTTCCGCCCGAGCAATTCAAAAGGGAGCCAGGCTACGCTCATAGATCTCCGCACGGAGCTTGTAACCTGCAGCTCCATCTTCATAGAAGCCCTTCCCCACTCGCTTCCGTAATGAAGTCCAGTCACGCGCATCCTCCCCGATGGAACCGAAAAACTGGTTCACAGCCGCCTCGCTCAGGAAGTGTGATTCCATAGCAGAGTCACTTTCCAAATGCCCCAGCTTGCCTCCCATTTGTAGGAGCTGCCGAGCGTCTGTACCTCAAGGCACGCAAAGAAGCACTGATGCTAGCGCGAACAAGACCATAAGACAACTGTAAGAACACTGAAAGTCCAACGAGTGCGGCCATGGTTGCAAGCAGCGTTGCCACATTGTCCCAGAGCCAGTTCCAAGCAACCTCATAGTTTGTGTCCCATTCCTGCAACTGAGACAGAGCCTCTCGCTCTAATGCACAAAGAAACACAAGCCACGTCATGCCTTTGGAAGCAGGGAACGCAAAGAGGCCAGCATGCAGGATTTGAATTGTGCCAAGTTTGGGGCCTGCGCAATCTTGCTTGCAGCTGGATGGGGACAGATTTGATCTAAAGCTCCGATGCTGAGCTTGAGGCTAGACCACGCGAGACCTGTCAGTGCCAGTAGTGTGTGCTCATGTCTCACTATCTTGAACACTGCCACCAGAAGCGCCTTGTCTATCCGAAGTGATAGCAAGTCGCACTCCTCGTGCAATCGCAGAGAATCCGCGGCATTCTGCACGATGTCTCCAAAGGAATTCAAAATCTGATCCATCCTCGGTCAAAAGCAATGCAAGCTACTCTGGGGTTTAGCTCACTGTGTGCAGGCAGGCATCCAGCCACCGACACCAAACCCCATCACCTGCGTGTTGAATCTGAACATCTCCTTTGCAGGTTCGAGCGGGTTCAATTCGCAAAACAACCACGGCCCCCCACACCAGTCTGAATATGATCCAGGTAGCTGAAAATGTCATGGGTACCACCATGTTGGTGCCCCCGAGCTGCCCGGTAGTGGCAGGTTGGGTGCCTTGCCCAGTCATGTCGGATACCTTCTTGGACAAAACAGTTACCGTGCTGCCTCCGGTTGCACCGCCAGCATTGGAAAGATTGCCCAGGTTCTTTCTCGAAGGGTCCTGGCATTTCCCCTTTGGAGCGAGATCTTGGGTTAACGCCTTTTGTGGACAGGCCTTCATGCTGACGGCCCGGCTAAGAGCACCACCATCACTGCCTCGGCTTGAGGGGCCAGCTCCAGCTCCAGTGACCGAAACACCCTGTGGCCAGCTTGTCTCGCTGGGCATCCCACCATTTGCCCGTATTCGCCGGCAGCAGGAGCACCACCCCTGCACTGCACGGCTGAGAGCTGTGAAAAGCTTTACTTCATGATTGAGGTGCTCTGGACGACTGATGCAGACAAGTCGGGCTGAATGTAGCACAGCTGTACATGGGATGTTCAGGGAACTGTTGTTTACTGTTTGGCTTTAATCCACAGAGCCTTCTTTTCCTCCTGCGCCACTTGCTGCTGGGCACCGATTTGCTCTTCCTTAACAAACCGTGTCAGCACAGGGCAACTAAAGAAACCTCAAGCGACTCAAAGCAACACAACTTTGCCAAGGTGCTGATCCTTGGCTGTACTGCTCGTCGTCCTGGATCCGGAGCTGGCCAACAACCCATAAAACAGAGAAACTCATCCAAAGCAGCCATGCTAGCAACTCTCATCTTCAGGCTTTTTTTCAGCGTTGCTCGTGCACTCTGTACATTTGTTACTGCAAGCAATCCTGTACACTTAAGCTCAACTCTGCTACGCGTGGGCAGGGCTTGAGCTGGCTTGCTGTTAAAGACCTTCAGTTCCGTCAGTCTCCCATAGCACAAGGCACACTTACTGTGGTAAGCTAAGTTAACAGCAACCCAGTAAAGGCTCAACCTGGAACCGCTCCCAGGATTATTTGCCGGAATCTTTCATCATCGTAGTCCACACTTATCCACGTGTTGGTCCCGGCTTCAAGGACGGATCCCCAGCCTTTGCTATCGCGGTACACCCGCACCTCTTCAAAGTGACATACGCCTTCATCGACAGCGACCGCCATGGCTAGGGGATCGTGAAGTTTCTTGCCGTCTCCACGAGCATAATTGCACATGGCATTGTACAGCCTGGGGCGGGAGAGAAAGTGCGCTAAGGAAACCTGTGCATCCTTCGTAACTAAAGGAGTACGCTCCCTCTGCCAAGTCGCAATTTCAGCGCCTCTGCTCTCACTGTTTCTGCTTTCTCTGCTTGGAGGGCGTTCTTGAATGCCTGGTGAAGCCGACTGTCGTAGACCACCTGACAGCGACAGCCAATTTAGTTTCATCATATGGCCCCAGCCGAACTCTGAGCTCCAAGCACGATGGCAAACGTTCTTGGACACCAGGACTTTTTGGGCAATAGCTTTGCTAGCCAGAGCAGCTTTTGCTGCAAGCTGGTTGCCTGCAGAGTGCGCATCGAACTTGCGTTGCAAAAAGCTGCTTTCCCGCTTGTGTACTTGATACTTGGCCCACGGCCATTAAAGTTCCAGGTTTCGCAGCTCGATTTTCCCGCGAACTTCCTTCATGGCAAAGTGGAATTCTGTCATTGCAGCATGGTATTGTGGCAAAAAAATCTCGAAACAGAAAGCCAGGTGTCCGCTTGGATTGGTGCGTGCCAGGGCGCTCCATCTGCAAGTGTCTCGGCACTACGCCCTCACCAGCAAAGCCGCCCTGCGCCACCCAGCGGCCCAAGGTGAGGCCACCCATGTCCAGCGCGGCTCCCAAGTTGTGCAGTGGGCCTTGGTCTACAGGAAACTGTGCAGGTTTGTCTAAGCAATGGTGATTCAACTTCCCTGCCTCCTGTCAGGAGTGTCGTGTTGGCATCACAACATTCCAGCAGAAGACTTGCGGCCGGCTCAATGGCAGCCCCTGGTGAGCATGGGCTCTCATCGAACACATGCCACCCCGCACTTTCAAATCAGAACCCAGACAACAAAGAAAGGCAGAAGATGCCTTGTACCACAGCGTCTGGAACTCGGCCAAAGCTGTCGTAGAACTTACCACGTAGGCACTTCTTGTCCGCATTCCTTGGCCATTCCTGCGCTCCCAAGCGGACGCCTGTCAACCTCAGCTCCTGCAGGATCCAGAGGACCAAGGCGACCTGCTCTGAAGCACCTTTCGGGTTGGGTTTAGGGGTTTAGGGGTTAAGGGTTTAGGGTTTTGGGGTTTAGGGGTTTTGGGGGTTAGGGGTTTGGGGTTTAGGGGTTTGGGGTTTGGGGTTTAGGGGTTAGGGTTTTGGGGTTTTGGGTTTACCACAAGCGCCAAAAAATTCTCAAACTTTTGGCCTGGAGTGATGGTCACCTCAGTTCCAGGCATCCCACACGGGTGTAGAACAGGTTGCCGAATGGTTGTGCAAAACTGTATAGTCCCCCTTAAGTAGATAGAATATGGCTTTGGGTATATCATAATAAGATCCCTATATACCCTAAACCCTAAACCCCACATTCTATCTACGTAAGGGGGACTGTACCCTAACTCAGCAAAGTCCGAGCACGGAACTGCCTTCAGCTTGACCCGGGGATTTGATGCCAAAAGCCTGGGTTGCTGTTAAGGAACTTGATTTGCGTTACCAGAATGGGTATATGTAGTAATTACCAGGGTTTCCCCAATATAGTAACTTAACTTAAGTTCCAACAATCGCTATGTTCCCCCTCTTTCCATGTCATGTTCCAATGTCTTTTCCATTCGATTCTCCATTCTAGAGGGATAATATAGTAATCCTAAAACCTAAACCCTATATTATACCCCAGTATGGTCACCCTAAACCCAAAACCCTATAAACCCTGAACCCTAAACCCTAAACCCTCAACCGTATGTTCTACCCCAATATGGTAACTTGAGATAAGTGCCCTAACAGCAACCCAGAAGCAGCAAGGTAAGAACATCGTCCGGGTCCCCCGTCTCCATGTCAAAGACAACCTTTTAGGGTGTATGGTTTAGGGTTTAGGCAAACTGGCCTTTTAGCTAGCTGGAATGAAGGAATGGAAAAGAAAATGGAAACTACTATTTAGGGTTTAAGGTAAAGAAGGAATGGAAAAGAAGATGGAAACAGGGTTTAGGGTTTAGAAGGAACGGAAAGAAAGTGGAACTACTACAATGAGTTATATAGGGACTGCCATAAGGATCCATTCCTCATTCCTAGCTAAGCAAAGGCCAGCAAATAAGTCATGCCAGCACGGCCAAACTCTAGATTCTAGCTCATCCGGGCAGAGGGGAATAAGGGAATAATGCAATATATTGTGGGGATTCTATAAAGATTATGTTCTCTGATTCCTTACTAACCCTTTTTAACCCAGGACTGAGGTGCCGGCCTGACCCTTAACCCTAAACCCCATATACGTACATACATACATACATACATACATACATACATACAAACACACACACACACATACATACATACATACATACATACATACATACATACATACATACACACACATAGTCCCTTACTTCCTATTCTACTAATAAGTTACTAACAACGCCCAGTAAGAAGAGTGTATCAAGAGAGTTCACGGTAGCCCATGGCCTCCTCCAGCCTTGACAATCCCTCCTCCTCGCAGCTTCTACCTCAGCTGCCGACGCTCCCAGCCCTGACCACCTGATTTAGGTGACCCCAATACTTGGAGGGTCAGGGGGACTTAGTAAGTAGGTTAATAATTGGGATATTTAGGGTTACTATATGGGTTATAGAGGTTATTAACCTACTTACTAAGTCCCCTGACCCTCCAAGTATAGACCCCAAAATACGATAGCCCTTATTATAGGGACCCCTAAAAATGGTAAGCGCCTGCCGGTGCAGGGGGAACCGCAGAAGCCACTGCATAACCCTCCTGCGCCGGTGACAGATGAGATGGTGCATCTAAGGCCGCATCCGGAAAGCTATTCTTAGTATTGTTAGTATTATCATTACTCATATGATAGTTAAAACTGATATTCTTCTTACTATTACTATTCTTGAAAGTATTGTTAATATTGTTATTAGTCTTACTATTATTCAACATTTGCAGTAGCGAATGCCGTGGCCTCCTTAGGTTGTCCCACGCGTTGCCAGCGCCTCCGGGGGCCTCAGACTACAGAAAGGACACAATGAGAACAATAAAAATGTACTACAAACGGTAATAACAATAACAATGATATTAAAAATAGTGATAACAATAATAACAAGATTAGCAATAACAAAATACATTAATAACTTGCCATGAGGACGTGCGCTTGCTGCCAAAGGGGCATGGTTGCTGCTCAGCGTCAGCCATGTTAAGCAACAGGCAGGCAGAGTGTACGCTAGCTTGTGCAGAAAAAGCTACAGCAACAAACACTGGGCAACACCTCAACTCAACATCGGCACAAAGAACTCAAGAAAGGCCGGCCACTGACGACCCGAAAATGCAGGCTGTCCTCAATGACTTGCTGGGCCTCGAGTTCCTCAGCTATCCTGACAAACGTTTGTCGTCTACTGCTGCCTGGCTATTCCTAGGCAGTAGGTGTCCTCCGTTCCTCCTTCTTGGCATGACCACTGTTCACCTCGGCGCTTGCAGCACGAACCGAGGAAAGGGCAGAAGCAAGCACAGGCTGACCACAGACCTCACATCCTACCCGCCCCCTACACTTTTACATCATTTCTCAACCCTTCACAGCACAAAAACACAAAGCACCTCCCAAATACCACACCGAAATCCCAAACACAGTCCAAACTTAAGTACCTCCCAACGCAACACCAGACCCCAAAGCACAAACAAAACTCAAAACACCGCCCTTACCCCACACCTCACATCCTACCCCCCGCCCCCCACGCCTTGACACCAGTTCTCAACCCACCTACTCAATCAACCCTTCCAATCCCACAAAACACAAAGCACCCCTGACAATTTACACAAAGATCCAGAAAAGAAAAAAAAACAAGACAAAGCAACTCACCACAATCCAAACGAAAACCCATAACACCACCCTAAACACGAAGCACCTACACCATCATTATTCCCTGATGAGGTCCGAGGTAAAATCCCTTATCGAAAACGCCCCCAAAGCTCATAAAAGTTCTTCACAATGAGCTCTGACTTCTCTAAATTCTCTTGACTGCTATTGCTTTAGCAACATCATCGTCTAAACCGCTCACATAACTACACAAAAGTTTTAGATTTAAAGTTTCCATTGCTAAAGTTTGACAAAGATGCGTTTAAGTACATATTTAGATGTTAGTTTTTCGTATGTATTCATGCGGTCTTAACATCTGATACACAATCTATTGCATTCTTCTTGTTAACCAGATTTCGAACATTGACATATCTGACAACTATGGGACAATATCTTATATCGTTCATTTCATACTCACAAGAAAAGAAAAATTACAAATATATAATGATACGGTGATTCTATCTACGTATATTGTCATACAACTGAATTAAAATTCAATACCAGAATGCTTCAACGAAACTACTTAAGCACCTGCTTATGAGGAGGTGTTGAATGTTCCACTACTACTCTCCACTTTCATGCGCCCATTCAATGTGAAACAAAAGGGCAGGGTTCTCTCTTCCAACAGTGATCTGTTCGCCCAGTCATTTTAATACGTTTTAAGTTTCAAATACTGATCCATACTATTGAATCTTAAACTCTTCTTTAGTTCCTCCACCTCTTTGTGAAATGCTTCCTTTTTTGTTCTTCTGGCGTCGTGCTGCTTAAACCAAACCCGTATCTGGTGTATCAACATGTTCTTCATCGTTAAAGATTAATTCTTAAACTCGCATTTCCATTGGGCATCGTCCCTCTACCCATTTTCCAACTGCTCCTGTTTCCTACTTCGTTGGCTAGAGAATTACCCTCTTTATCTATTAGTGCTTTGGGGTTTGGTATTGTGCTGGGAGGTACTTTGGTTTGGATTGTGTGTGGGATTTCGGCGCGAGATTTGTGAGGTGCTGCGTGTTTTGGTGCTCTGAAAGGTTGATTTAGTAAGCGGGTTGAGAAATGGTGTAAAATCGTGGGGGAGTAGAGGATGCGAGGTCTGGGGTCAGCCTCCGCTCGTGCTGAATCCAAACTGGCTCCATGCAAACCCTGTCAAAAAACAACGTAACTTTGTGGGGATACACAAGGGGTCCGCTACAAGCCAAGATGCTTTTGTCCAGCTTTCTCGGAGGAGCTTGAGGCGGTCTGCAAACTGATTTCTGACATAGATGCAGGCCTCAGAAGGCATACCAGAAGGGTCCCATAGGCATCTGTTTTGTGGATCTTTATACTGAAGAGTATAGAATTGGGGGATAAGTGATAAGGATCACAGTTTTGGAAAGTACCCTCAACACAAGCTGTGGTTGTCATGCCGCTGCACTGGTGCTTCTTGGCAAGGCGCCCCTCCAATCCAGCCAAACAACGCCATAAACCCCAGTCTGACCTTCCAAGGCAGCTGACTAAGAGTTTAGGGTTTTTAGGATTTAGGGTTTTAGGATTTTATGGTTTTAGCTGGTGTTCAGGATTTGGGGCTCAGGGTCCAGGGACCGCCTCCACAATCCCCTTCCCCCAAAATTCAACCCCCCACCCCTCTAATATAAGATATTCCCACCGTGGTATATAGTCCCCCTTAAGTAAATAGAATATGGCTTTGGGTATATCTTATTAAGATCCCCAAATACCCCATATTCTATCTACTTAAGGGGGGCTATACTAGAGTAGACAGGAAATATCTAATACTTATAAAGAGAGGTACAACACTGTTCCTACGAGGTGACAAAGAGGATATAATACATTGCCTACGTCTAGGTCCTTTTTTCAGTCCACAGCAAGCCCCCGACATGTAGGGTCCCCAAGAGAAGAATCATATCTTTTACAACCCTTTGCTACTTGCAGGTTCCGGGTAACTGTAACTCAATTACGACTTGTACTCGTAAGCTACCAGTACTTAAGCCCCTGTGTAATCCCCATGATAGGACCCGTATATTTGGGCTATAATTACCCAAACCCAAAGCTCTTAAACCTAAGCCCTAAACCCTTAACCCTCAAACCCTTAACCACGGCTGGAAGAAAGGGCAAAAGCTTTGGCCTCTGGTGCCAAGTTTTGGCCCAGTTCTGCTGAAAGGCAATCCACAATGGCCTTAGTTGAGGGTTTAGCGGTTCGGGTTTAGGGTTTATGGTTTAGGTCCATAATGGCCTTAGTCTGGGTTGCTGTTAAGGAACTTAAGTTAGATTTCTATAAAGTGGGTATGTAGGCACGTGCATCGCACTCGGCGGGCACGGTTCGTTCTGGGGTCCGAGCAAAGCGGGTATGGATATGTAGGGTTTAGCGTTAAAGTTACCTTTTTATGGGTAAATGATAAACAGTAGGGTTTCCTTTCTATAGCATGGGAAATTCAACTTCCTTAACAGGAACCCGGTAGTTGAGAGCCATCTTGGGGCTCCAATAAATTCAAAGGTATATGTAGGCAAATATTGGAATAGTTGTTGGGGTCTAGGGGTTTCCGAAAACATTAGGGGCCCTGTTTGAGGAGTCTTGTACTAAGGGTTACAATATATTGGGAGTCTATATTGGAGTCATCTTACTTACGGAAACTACCATCTGATTGCTGGCAGGCCATGCAAACTCATGCCTATCTGAGCTGCAGTCTAGACTCCTTAAAGGGGGTTATATGGGGGATTATATTATACTGGATCGCTATAGGCGTTATTAAGGGGGATACTAGGAATCTAGAACCCCAAACCCAAAACCCTAAATCCCATGTGAGCCCAAGGCATCTCGGAAGATCATCGCTCTCGGGACAGTGACCTGCGAAGGTAATCGCGCGGCCGCGCCCAGCAACACAACGGAACAAAGTTTAATATAGAGGTTATAAAGGGATAATGGAAAAGAAAATGGAAACTACCATTTAGGATTTAGGGTTAACGGGTTGGCTACAGGGACATGCAAATATCCCAGTTTCCATTTTATCTACCATGTCCTTGGCCATCCGATTGTCCCTTATAGGGGTCTAATCTCCATGTAAAACCCATATATTCCATTTGATTTTCCATTGTCGGCATATGACATCCCGCTAAAACCCCTAGCCAACCCCTGAACCCTAAACCCTAAATAGTAGTTTCCATGTTCTTTTCCATTATCCCTATAAAACCCCTGCATTAAACCCTTAGGAAGTGGTGCTTCTTCGGCCTCTGAGTCAACCCTACTTTCCCTAAACCCTGAACCCTGAACCCTAAGGTCAACCATAGTTTTAACTAGTCCAGCCCCAGAAAACAGGCCTCGAAGTTGAGATGACCTGACCACACGACGCCAAACTGTTTGTCTACCATTACTGTTACTACTACCAATTACTAATACTATTACTATTACTATTACTATGACTATTACGATTACAACTACTACTGTTACTATTAGTATTACTATTACTATTACTATCACTATCACTATCACTATTATAAATATTTTTACGACGCTCATTATTCCTTGTTGTTACTATTACTATCACCACTACTGTGTCTACTCTTACTGTTGTCATTGTTAATGGTTTCTCCAAAAGGCCCAGGCGAAAAGCTAGTGACTCCGCCAGCTGCTTGAGCTCTTTTGGCTTTTGCAAGTGCTCGACCTCAGTCAAAACGATCCACAAGGGAGTTTCCCAAAATTAGGGGTCCCTTTATTTAAGGGGATAGAGGGGTAATCTATAGTAAGGATTATGGTATGTCAGGGTCTATATGGGGATCCTCTAATTTGGGAAACTACCCCCAAAGGAACACCTAAGTCGACCCTGCAAACACAATCCGAGCTATAGCCTTAACTCTAGTGTCCTAGTGTCCCCCTAAATAAGCTCTATAATCGTCCCCTACATAATCCCCTGTATAACCACCTCTAAGGAATATAGACCCTAAACCCTAAATCCTACATAACCCTGTTATAACCCCTTTAAGGACTTTAGTCTACAGTTCATCCAGTCCAAGGTTCAATGTGCTGGAGCTCATCTAGGAGACGAAGAGATTGAATGACCTATCAGGAGATCGAGTCAAGAACGCTACCACGATTATTACGATTTTGACTATTAGTATAATAAATGCTATTATTGCTATTATTACTGCTTCACTATTATCACAATTATTGCTGTGTTTACTATGATTATTATTATCATGTTGCATTATTACGTGCTATTATCAGCTGTGAAGTTGTTGAAATGCCCTGGCTAAAGTGCAGACAGGGTCGGCCTTAGGAGTCTTGAAAAGAATTTGGAGGGAAGGGACGCTGTCGAAGACTACGCCATACCTTGGCGTCCCGAGCTTCAATGAACAAGACTTAACAAGTAACCTGCGCGAGGGCGATGCACAGAAGAATAGGAGTAGCAGTAATAGATACAGTAATAATAGCAAAGCTATAATGGCAATAACAGTAATAATAACACTAATGATAATAGTGATAATAGAAATGCTGATGCGCTGTCCTGTATCCACTGACGAGGCACAAGGAGGAAGCAGCTGAATCTCGGGACTCAAAGCAGCCAATGAAGGCATGCCAGGCCTGCCAGCATGCTGAATGGATGGATTGAAACAAACTCGTGGCATGGGAAACAACTCTCCTTAAAGGGGGGGGGGGGGGGG